AGCAGAAACCTAAACCCATACCTAAATCAAGTCAGTCGTTATTTAACATTTACTGTTCAGCTGCTGTTAGCGGAGGAGGGTTGACTTGGCCATAAGGGAAAGAAGAAAACTAGCAGCAGCAGTAGCTACCTTAAGTGGGTAATGCCAGTTCCGAAAACAAGTGTTGTTTATATTTGTTGTTGTACTTGTAATAGTTAGCTATTTGTTCAAGCGAACTTTACATTTTTCATCGTTGTTGGAGAGATGATGGCGTTGGCCGTTCTGTTGGCCATGCAGAGTACTAGGATCAAGACCGACCGACCGACCGAGTGAGCAGTAGTTGTAGTTGTAATTGCCGTTGTTATTGTTTTTGTTGTTCCTTAGCTTGTTCTTCGTGATTTACCGCCGCTGCTACTGTCGTTAGTGTAGCCTTTCGAGAGTATTAAACGAGCTATTCCAAAATTAGGCTACTCTTTGTTTGACTCTAAATTTGTTTGTTTGCCTTTCTTTCTCGAAAAATTTGAGATGTTTTCCCAGCTACTTGTACCGTTGAAGAAAAGGAAAAGTGAGGCTATTTGAGCGTAGCTGTGAAGGAGAGAGGGAAGCATGAGTAGGGTGTTTTTTTGGCATGGAAGTCATTAGTCGGCCAGAGTGCAAAAGTCGACTGGAAACAAGTCATGGTTTAATGCTTTCGTCATAGTTTTGCGTTCAACCTTAAATTGTAGGAAGGCGAATAACAATTACATACAAACATAATCACATATGTGAACACGCACACACACACACACAGAGTGGTAGGGAGTACAAAAAGTAAGAGTGTGTGTGGGTGTGTGTTGGTTGGCAATGTACTTGTGCCTGTGATGTTCATCAAACAAAACGAGGACGAAGTTGAGGTCTTTGAGGCCATCGTATGCTAATGTTATTGTTGTTGTTGTCATAGCTTCTAATTGTTGTTGGTGTTGTTGTGAAGTTTGCATGAATTCAAAGAAAGAAAAAAAACCTAGGAAAACAAGGGAGGCCGATTAAAAGACGTAGTAGTGGTCACCAAACATGGTTTAAGGGCTATGAATGCTAATAGCGAGAAAGTTTGTCGCTTTTTCTACTTCTATATATGGGAACAAATTTAAAGAGGTCCGAGAAATCAGGTTGGTTATAGGAAAGTAATCTCTATCCTTTTTTCTTTAAAAGTATTACTATCCAAGCCTTAGGAGGATTTTTATACCCTACAACACTATGTGTTGGGGGTATTAGAAGTTTGAATGGGCCAAAAATTAAAATTAACGCCTCGAAATATTTTTTTCCCACATAGGAAATTATATATGAATCTTCCTATCTCGCCGTGCTGAGTCGATCTACTATGTGTGTCCGTCCGTCCGTCTGTCCATGTTAATTTGTAATCACGCTACAGGTCGCAATATTGGCCCGAAGGTGGGGTTATGATCAGAACAGAAGCCTATTGTTTTTGGAGATGATCGCATAATATTTAGATGTTGAAATGGACCATAAACTAAAAATGTTCCTGATTTTGCAGCTCTTATACAGGGTATGGTAAAACGCCATAATTTTTAATTTTTTTTTAATTTTATTAAATGAAAGCACAAAATGTCGAAAATATCATCAAATTTTAGAATAAGTTTAGATTTGTTCGAATTGGCCACCTTTGGCACGAATTATGGCCTCCAAACGGCCAATGAAACCTTCACACGCTGCCCGAATGTTGCTCTGCGGTAATTTGGCCCATTCCCGGCGATGCGCTATTTTTTAGTGCCAACCTTGCTTTCCAAAATACTCTAGAAATAATAGTCCAACGGATTGGTATCCGGAGATTTTGGTGGCCATTGTGCGCTGGAAATGAAGCGAAAACCTCATTTTCTAAACATTCTTGGGTTGCGCGTGCCGAGTGCAATGGTGCTGAGCCCTGTGAGAATGTCCAAGATCTGCCGTCAAAATGTTTGCGTGCCCAAGGCTTTAATACACCCTCCAGAATATTTTCGCGATAGTATTCGGCATTTATTCTGGTGCCACGGTCGATTAATACGAGCGGGGAGCGACCATCGGCTGTTATAGCGATCCCCACCATCACCATGGCCGTCGCTTGAGTTCTGGTGGCCAACCGAAGGTGCAAATTTTCAGCTGACCTCTTTGGCAAGTAAACACGATCATTTTATTTGTTTACAAACTGCTGGACAATGAACGTTTACTCATTGGAGAAAACTAAATTCGGCAGTTCACCACTTTTGGCCATGCGAAGTAACTTTTTAGCTCCTTTGAGTCTATTTCTTTACTTTTCGAACCATTTCTGCTGATGTTGCTGTTTTCTTCGGGCCACGCTACCAGTATCACTGTAACAAGCGATGGTACGAGATGCAAAAGATTTATTCACATTTCAATGCTGAAGTGCTCTAACGATAGCCACTTGTGGTTTTTCAGCCAAATATAAAGAAATCACACTATCACGCTTGGATTCCATCACAAATAATTTTTTCTATTAATCGACCGTGGCATCAGAATAAATGCCGAATATTATTGCGAAAATATTCTGAAGGGTGTATTAAAGCCTTGGGCACGCAAACATTTTGACCGCAGACCTTGGACATTCCAACAGGACTCAGCACTATCGCACTCAGCACACGCCACCCAAGAATGCTTACAAAATGAGATTCCTCGCTTCATTTCCAGCCATCAAAATCTCTGGATACCAATCCGTTGGACTATTGTGCCTGCAGTACTTTGGAAAGCAAGTTTGGCACTAAAAAATACCAAAGTTTCGATCATCTCAAAAAATACTGCAGAACAACATTCGGGCAGCGTGTGACGGTTTCATTGGCCGTTTGGCTTATTCTAAAATTTGATGCTATTTCCGACATTTTTATACCCTCCACCTTGGAAAGGAGGGTTGAAATCACGATACAGCCCACATTATTTAACGTAGAGCGCCAAAATTTAGCAGAGTAATTTGTATTGTGTCTAGGATGGTTGGTATTGAAAATGAGATATATCGGTTCACGTTCTGGTATAGTCCCCATATAACGGTACCTCCCAATATTCGGTATGTTGATGATTTATGCTACATTTTTTTACGGATTTGTCTGAAAATCGGTATTTGTAGGTCATTACGGGTCTGTGTGCGTGTGGCAAAACATTGCATGTATAGGTCCACGTTTTGGTATAGCCCCCCATATAAAGGTACCTCCCGATATTCGGTATTTTAATTGTTTTTGCCACATTTTTTCATGGATTTGTCTAAAAATTTGTATTTGTTGGTCATAATGAGTTCCAGCTCCGGTGGCGAAATATTGCATGTATGGGTCCACGATTTGGTATAGCCCCCATATAACGGTACCTCCCGATATTCGGTATTTTGATGATTTTTGACACATTTTTTCACTGATTTCTTTAAAAATTTGTATTTGTGGGTCATAATGGGTCCTACTTCGTGTGGCGAAACAGTGAATGTGTAGGTCCACGTTTTGATATAGTCCCCATATAACGGTACCTCCCAATATTCGATATTTCGATGATTTTTGACACATTTTTTCAAGAATTTCTTTGAAAATTGGTAGTTGTAGATCATAATGGGTCCCAGTTCGTGTGGCGAGTCATTTTAATTATAGGTCCACGTTTTGATATAGCCCCCCTATAACGGTACCTCCCGATATGATGATTTTTGCCACATTTTTTCACGGATTTTGTAGGTCATAATGGGTTCTAGCTCCATTGGCGAAACATTGCATGTATAGGTCCCATATAACAGTACCTCCCGATATTCGGCATTTTAATGGTTTTTGCCACATTTCTTCTAATGTTTCCTTTACCCTAAGGTGGAGGGTATTAAAAGTTTGGCCCGGCCGAACTTATATTTTTTTTAAATATTTAATGTTTTTTTGCTATGTCTATATATGCACCAATTCTCAGCAATTTCAATAGGGTTTGTCCTTGGGTCAAACAAATATTGTTTGGAAAATTTCATCTCAATCGAATATCAAATGCGACCTGCATTTTGTTCACAAAAATACATGGAACGACGGAGGGAGAGACGGACAGATGGTCTGACATGCATAAATTGACTCAGAATGTAATTCTATGAAGATCCTCGAAAGTAACTAAATAAATGCACAAAGACTAATACCCTTATCTCTGGAGTGATATTTTCCTCTATGTAGAGCAGGGTATTAATGTACTGATATTTTCCACTTTTATACTTGATATGTCATAGACCAAATATTGGGCAATTCAGACTCTGATTTCACATTTTAGGAAAGTTATTGGCATCTAATATTAGTATTCTCTTTTCATAGGGAAGTGTGACAAGAAATAGGCTAATATTTTCCATTTTCACTTCCGACCGAAATCTGATAAAAGTAGGCACATAAAAATAATTCCAAGCCTATTTTGATGGATTTTCTTTTTTAAGTTCCCCTAATTTGCAATTTCCCCTCGTTTTTCAAGAAACAAACGAACGAGAATTTGGCAATCTCGAGGTGTTGTTGTTATTTTCGAGTACATACTTTGTTGCGATATGAACGAATTCTGGTACTTACTCTCAGCTCTGTTTTTTATTCCAAAATCCACTCATACCCCAATGGCCTCCTCCACTTTCTCTCTTTCTTTCTTGCTTTCTGAAAATAAGAAAATACTCTCACTTTTGTTTTTAGTAATGTGTGCTAAGTATTAGTGTTAGGCTGCTAGTTAGTTAGTTTAGTTAGTGAAGAATATGTGTTGGCTGAGTGTTTGTTATTTGCCTACTTTTAGGCTTAAAGTTGTTGCTTTTTGTTGGTGCTGCTGCTTCAGCTCATTTGCTGTTGTTTGTGTGTGTGTGTGTGAGTGTTTCTGATTTCGTTTGTTGATTTATTCGCTAAGGCCTCTTTCAAGAGGACGCATCATTAAAATAATTCGAATGCAAGAACAGCTAACGGCTCACATGGCGACAACAACAAGAACAAGAACAACAACAACAACGCTGGCAAAATACTCACTCACAATCACAAGCTAAACTTAAGCTTTGAAACTATTGGAATATTATTCACTTACAATTAAAACGTTCAAGCAAGAGGTTCGTTGTTGCTTTTTAACGGCTGATTAGAAAAGTGGTCCGAACGGTGGAATAGTTACAACAACTTAATCTGCAAGAGTTATTTTTGTTCCAAGAAAAAAAAAACAGAAAAAGAATTGGATTCTGAAATTGATAGAACTTGTGGGCGTGGAAAAAATAAAAGGAAAAAAGTGAAACATTCCAAATTAAGAACTGACGTGAAAACTAAAAAAATAATTAAAGTAAAAAACTTGGTGGACTAAAATTTAAATTAAAAAAAAAAATCTTTAAAAACAATTACTTTTGTGAAATAAAAAAAAAATAAATAATTCGGTGACAAAATGCAGCCCCTCAAGCGTTTCACCCAATGCGGCAGCCTGACCATGCTCTTCGGAGTTTTCATCATTCTATTTGGGGTCAGTTCAACAGCCTTAACTACATTTGGAAAATCTAGCAATGTTCCACCACCCACACCAGGACCCGTTGGTAAGTAGAACGCGTTCATGTTTTTTTCACTTTAACTTAGGTTTTTTGGCTTTCTTTTTTGGAAGCACAAAATTAGGCGTTGTTTCCTAACATGACTGGCATACACAAAAATATAACTTTGCAAATTCATGTTGATGAACCCTAGAAAGAGGGATTTCTGCAAAAGAAAAATTAAACTAAAACAACGAACTTATTTCCAACAAGGTTTCATAATATTTGGCAAAGAAAATAAAAATAAAACAAGTAAAAAAGCAGTTAGTTCGGCCGGGTCGAACTTTGAATACCCTCCACCATTTGGAACGAATTAGAAAATTTTCAAAAAATAAAATCCATTAAAAATTCTGTTAAAATCTTTAAAATATCTAATGCCGATATATTACCTTTCAGGGGTTAAAGTGCTCACAAAGAACTCCTTGTGTGGACAATACCATAGGAAAATATGGCTAAAATCATCAAAATACCGAATATCGGAGGTACCGTTATATGGGGGATATACAATATCTTCCGAGGTATAAAGTACCCACAAGGTACTCCTTCTGTGTATATTTTCAGACAATTCCGTTGAAAAATGTGGGTAAAATCATCAAAATACCGAATATCGGTGGTACCGTTATATGGGTGCTATACGATATCGTGGACCGATATTGACCTGCCTGCAGACAAAAGAGGAATCGGTGCAAAATTTTAGCTTCCTATCTTAATTCGTTTAGACTGTAGCGTGATTACAACAGACGGACGGACAGAGCTAAATCGTCTTAGAATTTTACGCTGATCAAGAATATATATACTTTGTTGGGTCTAAAATGATTATTTCGATGAGTTACAAGTGGAATGACGAACTTAATATACCCTCCATACTATGTATGGTGGAGGGTATAAAAATTGGAAAATTAATTTACTACTTTTTTAGTTTTGAGTATTGGCTTAAAGATTTTAATGAAAATCACCAATTATGGATCCGTAATATTTTTTTTTTTGATCCAAGAGAATATTTTTGAAAAATTATCAATGCTATTAAATTCTAAATTGCATACCTGGATCTCAATATCCGTTGTATGAAAATTTGAAACTAAGGAGAAGTAATACGGAATCAAATCAAATTTACACATGCATTGGAAATGAAATTGCCAATATTCAATTAAGTTTATGGATGTAGACATGAGGATAGATAGAAAAAAAAAACAAGAAAAAAAGCAGCAAGTTTGGCCGGGCTAAGCTTAGGGTATTCTCCACCATTTGGAATGATTTTGGCAATTGAAAATACCGAATGTAGCTGTTATATTGGGGTCTCTACGATGTGAACCTAAAAAGGCTTTGTTTGTCATAAGCCATTACAATATTCAAATTCGAAATAAACAGTCAATAATGTAGCTAAAATCATCAAAATACCGTATATAGAGAGGTACCGTTATATCGGAGCTATACGAAGTCCTGGGCCTGCATAGACAATTTTCTGTCACAGGCTGTAGAATCCATTACGAACTTCAAATATGACACCTCAAACAATTTCGGTGAGTATTTTACGTAAAATCGTCAAAATACCGAATATTGGGGCCTATTCGAAGACCTAGGCCTGCATAAAAAATGTTGTGTCACAGACTGTAGTTACCATTACGAACTCTAAATACGTAATTTGAAACTACTCCGGTTAATAATGTAGCTAAAATCATAAAAATTCCGAATATAGGGATGTACCGTTATTTGGGGCTATACGAAGACGTGGACCTGCACACACAATTTTCTGTCTTAGGCTGTAGCATCAATTTCAAGCATCAAATGCCAAATTTGAAACAATTCCGGTGAATATTGTCGCAAAAATCATCAAAATACCGAATATCGGGAGGTACCGTTATATGGGGGCTATATGAAGACGAGGACCTGTACGGACAATTTTCTGTCATAGGCTGTAGTATCCACTACGAACATCAAATACCAAATTTGAAACAAATCTTGTGAAAAAATGTTCATAAAATCATTAAAATAATATATAGGGGCTCTACGAAGACGTGGACCTGCATAGACAATTTTCTGTCGTAGGCCGTAGAATCCATTACGAACTTTAAACACCAAATTTGAAACAATTCCGGTGAATTTTGTCGCAAAAATAATCAAAATATCGAATATCGGGAGGTACCGTTATATGAGGGGCTATACGAAGACGAGGACCTGCACGGACAATTTTCTGGCTTAGACTGTAGTATCCATTATGAACTTCAAATACCAAATTTGAAACAATTCCGGTGAATAATGTCGCTAAAATCATCAAAATACCGAATATCGGGAGGTACCGTTATATGGGGGCTCTACCAAAACTTGGACCTACAATTACCATTTTCAATACCAAAAGTCCTGCAGACATAATACACATTTGACTAAAATTTTATCAACCTACTTCATTTCGTTCGGAAGCTAGAGTGTTTTCCACAGACGGACGGACATCGCTAAATCGGCATAGAATATTATGCTGATCAAGAATATATCTATACTTTGTGGGTTTTTTCACTACTTTTTCAAATATATATATTGCCGAAGACACTATAGCTCTGTTCCAGAACCTGCAAGAATCTACTAGTTTTGTAATTTTTTGTATCATAAATTATATAAATAAAATATCATAAATTTAAAATCGGTAATCGTAGTAAAAAGTTGCACATTCTTGCAGAGCATATACAGCATATACAAAAGGAAACCGTCACACGCTGCCCAAATGTTACTCTGCGGTATTTTTGCCCATTCCCGGCGAACCGCTTGCTTAAGGTGATCGACACTTTGGCATTTTTTAGTGTCAACCTTGCTTTCCAAAATACTCCAGATACAATAGTCGATCGGATTGGTATCTGGAGATTTTGGTGGCCACTGTGCGCTGGAAATGAAGCGTGGCTGAGTGCGATGGTGCTGAGTCCTGTTGCAATGTCCAAAGTCTGCGGACAAAACGTTTGTGTGCGCAAGGCTTTAATACACCCTCCAGAATATTTTTGCGATAACATTCGGTATTTATTCCGATGCCACGATCGATTAATTCGAGCGAAGGGCGAACATCGGCTGTTGTGGCAGCCCACACCTTGTACTTGGGTTCTGGTGTCCAACAGAAGGTGCACATTTTCAGCTGACCTCTTTGGCAAATAAACACGATCATTTTGTTTGTTTACACAGTGCTGGACAACGAATGATTTCTCATCGGAGAAAACCAAATTCGGCAGTTCACCACTTTCGTCCGAGCGAAGCAACTCTTTACCTCTTTTGAGTCTATTTTCTTTCTGTTGCGGTGTAAGTTCTTGCACTTTTTGGAATTTCCAATGGCTTTACCCGAGCCTGAGCTCATTTTCAATATTTGCCGAATGGAATATTGTAATATGTTCAGCTCACGAGCCATTTTCCGGCCACTGCGACGCGGGTTTCGATCATGTCGCTTCTTTACTTTTCGAACCATTTCTGCGGATATTGCTGTTTTCTTCCGTCCATTTCCTTGACGTCGGGCTACGCCCCAGAATCACGGTAACGAGCGATGGTACGAGACACAAACGATTTATTCACATTTCAATGCTGGATTGCTCTAACGATAGCCACTTGTGGTTTTCCCAGCCAAGTATAAAGAAATCGCACTATCTCACTTGAATGCCATCACGAATAACTTTTTTTCTGGAAAATTCTCACCTAAATGCTTTTGCACGCTTGTAAACAATATAATGAGCTATCGCCGGAATAATTTTAACAGCTGTCGGACGAGTGTCTTGGAAATGGCAGCAGTCTGAAGTTGGTTGCAGTTTTTTCATCTCACCTTGTATACATTTTGACAGTGAGATGTTTTCAAATGAATAATTTAGAAAAAATTGTATACGTATGATTTTATGGCTTAACCTTCTTGATTCTACCATGATTAAGTAATGGTCAGCATATATTTTATTCACTTACACGTTCAAATTTCTATCCACGATAATTAAAGCGAGAAAAAAGTACCTCCGTAGCTCCCACATACAGGGTTGCCCATATTCGACGGACCTTTGGGCCCTTTGGACCCATTCCAATCGAAGAGGCAACATTCTTTGCGTCAATTGAATTTTGTGCGGGAACAAATGCAAATCGATGCGAATAATCCGTTGTAAAGTGGACCGAGCCATGCCCAACTGTTGAGAACGGCGTTTTTGGGATGTTCTTGGGGACCTCTCAACACTGGCTCGTACGGCAGCGATATTTTCAGCCGATCGCCTTGGTCGACTTTTATATGGCCTCTTCGGATTAGAAAGAGCCTTACCAGTCGAAAATTTTTCGTATAAACGCTTAATGGTGTTCCTTTTTTTCACAATTGACTTCTTCTGTTGAATTTAAATTTCTACTATTTCAGAGCTCTCGTGTGGCGTGTATTGGTTCATGGTGAAAATCTGCTTGGACTGACGCTTCAAACGCGGTATGTCATTAAGCGACGTGACATCTCTGTCAAAAGTTATGGCGTTGCCAGATGGGTCCGTCGAATATGGGCAACCCTGTACATGTATCATCATCTGATTTCTGATTTACACTACACTTAATTTGTGATATGTTTTCAATGAGTAGAAATTTATTAATATTTAGATCTTTACTGGTCCCCAGCGACACCAGATAAAAGTAATTTCCTGTTTTTTGAAATATTTTTAAATTAGTTATTATCACTTTGTATTCCATGGAAATCCCTACGGAATAAACGGCACATGAACATGAAATAATTGTTTCACATGCCTTCGGATAATTTATGTTTTGTTAGTTTTATTGATAATACATTCATGAAAACAAAACACATTTTGACCGTCAAGTGCAAAGATAATATTTAAAAAAAAAAAAAAACAACAGGAATTTTGCAAAATTTTTGATAATAAATTAACATAAAGTGGATTGTTTTTTTTATTTCAATATAGTGGATAATTTTTATGTTCCGGTACTTTTTTTATCGTAAAACTAGTAAAAAGGAGAAATGTTACATTCACTCTGAGAGAGCATCTTTGCCAAAAACAGTACAGAAAAGGGAA